TGTGTGTATATATATATATGCATGATTGCATGAAGTTGTGATTAGAACCACATATTATTATCTACCTGGCTACACTCTGTGTGTACACACGCATTACTTATCTTCGCAGGCACACCGAACCTGGCCCGCCCCAAACCTTCCACCTAAACCCCCCCCTCCCGAATCCCTAACCAAACAACCCCACATAAATCTTTGGGCTTAGGGTTGTACAGGCATTTGGGGTTTATATAGGGTTTATGAGGTTCTGGGTGCTGGGCTGGAAAAGTCGTCCAGATCTGGGCTTCTCTTGTCAACAAGTCCGAAGCCCTGCCCAAAACCCAATACACCCCGAAACCAACAACCCGAATTACCTTATAATGCTTCTCGCCGTCAGCTAGAGCCTCAAACCTGGGGACAACAGAAGCATTTTTCTGCTAATATGAAACAAGACCCGACCATCCTAGCAAAGCCCCAGCTAACTTCCGACCTGTATGAAGTGAGCAACTCTGCAATCTCCTTGGGAGCCCGGAGCTTCGAAAGTCTCCAGACAAGAGCATCCAGATCCAACATGGTATGTGCCACAGAGGAACGAGCAGCGAGCAGCTTATGTCGAAATTGCTGAGGCCGGAATGATTGTACATGCAATGCTGCATTCAGGAATTCAAGAATTATCAGCCTTGTCAGCGATGCAGATGTTCTGCTAGAGTGCTATGGATACGCTTTTGCACAGACCTTTAAACATGCCGAAACATGGCTGGCAGCGCGTTTCTTCGACAGGCGCTCCACGCGAAGCTTCCAGATATCTCTCTTGATGCGTTTGGCCTCGGCACGTAGTATGAGGTAGAAAATGGGCTTTCGGTCACAGGATCTGTATACAGGTTTAGGGTTTAGGGTTATACAGGGTTTACCACTGTAGCGTTTGTAAGTTTAAAGGGCTTCGAAGGCTTATAAGGTAGCTAAGCTTAGTGTAGCTTCTATAGGATTGTGTTGGGGAAGATACAGAGTTTGATGGCGCTTGGATCACACAGCCACATGTGCAATTAGGTCCGGGCCAAACTCAAGTAAACCCCGAAGCAGGAGTACCATTATATGCGGCTATATATGCACAAGCCAAATTAATCCAGCCTATAACAACCCCCAGCTGCCTCAAGAATCCTCCCTAGATTCATTATGTAAGAATGACCCCTACACCAGTTTAGTGAACCTGAGTGATTGTATGCCTGGCCCTTTTCGGGACGCCCTCCCTGATGATCGAAAGCTCTAGTGCTTCTTCTGGCACAGCCACAGCGTGTCGACAACAAGCCGAGGTCTGAGGTACAGAAATGAGTACATATATAGGCAACATAAGCTGTTTTCTGGAGTGTATAATACACAAGACACTGGCTTGCTGTAATGCACGAGCAGCACAAAGCTGCAGTCTAAGCATAGGAGCATCCTCAGCGGGTGGCTTTGTTCCCCGCTCAGCTGAGGAGGCAGCGAGCACCCAACAAGGCACACAAACTAGACTGAAGACGCTCATAGCGCTGCAGCACAAATCGCACTTCTATACGGCCACTGGAGCAGATCACTTCTTCTTATTCTCCTTCTCAATCTTCTTGACAAAGCTCTCCGCAGCAGTCTCACATGCTGCCTCCAGCGTATCAAGGTCGATGTTCCAGTTCTTGAACTCTGCCACGCAGTGGGTCCAAAAGGGATCCTCCAGGAGATTTTTCAACGCTGGGATGCACAATGATCTACACAACAACCCCTTAGCAACATGACAAGACGAAATCCAAATCTCCTCGAACGAGCTTGGGCAATTCGACTTGATCTTCGGGCGCACGATCGTCATGAAGGCGTTGCGGATGGCATCGAATCTGGCCATGGCCATTTTCCTTGACCCTGCCCTGTACCGTCGAGCGAATGTCACGACCTTCGGCTCGTCATCGTCGTCGCCATCCTCCTCCTCCGGCTCGGGCTCGGGGGCCTTTGCGGAGGCCTTTGCACCCTTCTTGGCGGAAGCTTTTGCTTTCGCCTTGCTTTTCGCCTTGGGGGATGCTTTGGCCTTCGCTTTGGCTTTGGCCACTGCCTTCTTGGAAGGCTCCGGCTCAACATCATCCTCAAGCGATGCCTCAGCTTTGCGCTTCTTGCTCGCTCTCTTTGGCGCCGCAGGCTTCTCGGGCTCGGCGGCCGGCGCCCACTGATCGCCATCCCAATCCCCATCTTCATCCATCTCCTCGCCCTCCCAGTCGAGCCACTGCTCCCACTCTTCGGCGGTGTAGCCTCCATACTTATCCTCCCCCTCAGGCTTTGCGTTCTTCTTCTTGTCAGCATCACCGTTCTTCTTAGGATTCTTCGCCCCACGCTTATCCTCCGCCTTCTTCGTGCCACGCACAGCCAACTGTTCCATACGGCCAATATCGGGCATCGTAACCTGTCCCACTCATAATCCACAACTGACTAGAAAGATACCTTATACTAAAATTGCAATATATATTACAAATATATTGTAGCCTTCTCATCTGGGGTGAAAGGATCCGAAGACCCTTTCGCAGATTCATCCGAGACCTCTGGCGAATATGGGTTGTAAGGAAGTCGGGCACCCTTGGCGGATCCCGGCAGCGGCTTCATCTTCTTAGTCTTGCACTGCTTCTGCTGATAGTCCTCACGAAGCTCAGCAGCAGTGACCTCGGCGCTCTCCTTGCGACTGCTTGAGGGGGGCTCGGAAGAGGGTGGCGGGGTCTCGACCTCCAAGATGTTGTGGGGGAGGGTATCTTGATCATCAAGCACAGGTCCCACAAAAGCAGGCACGCTCGGGATGCCCGCCGGAACCTCGGAAGGTCCTGGCAGGCTTGAAAATTTAACACATATATCAGATTTCAATCTCCACATCCACCCGCGTCCTTCACTTGAAACGGAACCAGCAGTGCCCAACTGTTGCTTTTTTCCCTTCAGCCTCATCAAAGAATGTCGTGCGAAACAAGTCTGGATCAAACACAGAAATACACATACCCACTCACACGCCTATATAACACCAAGGCAGGCACTGCTCGATGCGTTGCTTCAACTCAGCCAATCGTGCAAGCTTCTGGGCTCTCTCGGATATGCCTCAGCCATAGATTTATTGACCACGGCCAAACTCGATGCATGTTTTCAGATCAACTGAGATATTAACTGTTGCGGGTTGGGGTGGCCATGGGCTTGAAAGTGATCTTCCAACCTGGCTTCACGACCACCTGCTCATCGGAAGCTTTGGCTTCCGCGCTGCATCCGGAAGCTTTGGCTTCCCCGCTGCATCCGGAAGCTTCGGCTTCCGCGGCGGATCCCAACGTCGTGGGGCCTCCATTGGCCCCATCCACAACAGCGACTGGGACCTCATCACTGATGGGCCCCGCAGCTGTAGCAGCCATTTCCAAAGCCCGTCCACTGTCCTGGCTGCTCCCTGCTGGCTCAGCCAAATCATCAGCATCATCAGCAATGACGATCGCAGAGGAGGGAAAAATCGGTTCCTCACTTGGCTGTTCAGCTTCCCCAACAGAAGCACCTGCATGGCCGCGGAAATCATTCATCAATTCATGAAGATCATCGCAGCCAGCTCCGCCAGCTCCTGCATTGGCATCTTCATGAACTCCCTCTTCACGTGGGCCATCCATGTCGTCATCATCGTCGTAAGCATCTTCATCCTCGTCCGTGGCCTGCTGTGTTAGCTATTGTTTAGATAGGGAATCTTCACTGAGTCATGCGCATGACAAATGTTCGTTTCTCTTGTGTCCTCTTGACTGCCGGCACTGCCGGCGGAAGCAGCGATCCGCCTTGCCCGGTTCTCGTTGACAGCGTCGACCACATCCTCCGAAAGGGTTGTGGTTTCTTGGTCAGATGTTAGGGAGGCCGTGCATGTCAGGAAGGCTCCAAAATCAGGCCTGGAGGGCGGGGTCCAAAGTCAAGATTAAGTCTTGGAACGAAGGCACCTGGGCTTTGGGTTTATTTAGCATGCCGTTTTAATGCAGAGTATGGCAACACACCTATATATGGTACTCATGATGCTTCCGATGAGACAAGGCACGATGGATACTTCCCTACGGCGGCACTTTGCCTTGATAAAGGTGAGCTGCTTGCGGATGAGCCAAGTATACTTGTCGATCTCGCCTTCATCATTCGACAATCGCTTCGTGAGATCAAGCACTGACTGGATCTCTGCTCGGAGTGCGTCCACTCCGGGCATCTTCTTGTCAGCTGCTGCCATCCTGACAAGGATGGGCTTGATCACCGCGCTGAACTTGCTCGGCAGCTTGATGTCCACCTGCTTCTCACTGACCTCGTGGATGAGTGGCTTGCCCTCACGCAAGCTGTTGCGGATCTCAGGGGTTGCCTCCCATTCCTTCGCGAGGCCAGCAAGTGAACAACTCGCCATGAAATCGGGATCCACAGAAAACTGAAAACAAATCTAAATGTCCCCCTTCGGTTTTGAGAAGGAGACACAGAACTGGCGATGCGGTTGGATGCAAGCTGCACACACCCCCACACTCTCCGGCATACTTCTCAATCACAAGATATACCCATGCACTTGCATAGTATACGCACACGCCCTGCAAACAGACAGCTTGCTTGCCGAATCAGTGCTTTCCTCAAAAGATGAGCTCCGAGCTTTCATGCGATCGGCGAAAAAGAAGCCATGGCCGCCACCAAGGCAGCTGCAGCTGCACCATACTTTGTACTAGATAAACTGATCCGGATCTAGCAGGTCCGTTGGTGAAGACCCAAAACTGCTACCTTGCATATATAAAAGCTTAAGTACTAATTCCTCGAAGGAACCTCAGAGACCCACCGAAACCCTAGCTCAAGTACCAATTCCTCGAAGGAACCACAGAGACCCACCGAAACCCTATTATTGCAAGCCATATGGAACTTCGGGCCTCTCAAAAAAGTATGGATGCGTGTACAATCTTGTACAGACATCTATAAAATGCCTTCATAGCTACGTCCTACAGCCAGGGCTCGATGCATGTTATGTGAAAGAGCCTTCCCATGACTCGACTTCAGTTCCTGGCTTGATATATGCTGGAACGACCAGAGCGGCGCCTTGCGTGGTATCGGGCTTCAGGGCTTGGAAATTACAGGATTGGATGTCATCTTGGAGCCCGCATGCTATGGGGCCTTGTACTCTCATCTTGGGAGTAGATCATGCGCTCTTCGGCTTAGGGGCCTCATGATTTTACATACATCACCTCGAAGTTATGTAGTTAAAGACCACTCATCGAAGGAGCATCGGTGACTTGGAAATTGTTTGGATAGCTTTACATAGCACATAAGTGGAGACTTAAGGATAAAAGTCGGTTATTTATAAGAACCGGGTTTTTTATGGGAAACACGGGTTATCAGATCATCCTAATCCCAAACCTCGGTTATTTATTTACACCCGACAAATTTTAGGGGTCAAGAGGGTCTAGGTAAGCCTCTTGGAAGCCCAACTACCGTACTTATGACCTTAGTTTAGCCTAAGTTTCGGAGTCCGGGATCCTCCAAGCGAGCTCTGAAGCCTTGTAAAATCCGAATAGAGCCCCCTAGAGCGCCCTACTTTAAAATCCTTGCAAAACGCCATAAGACCCTACATACTAAGCCCCACGATCCTTTAAGTAGTAGTGTCCCCCCTATAGTAACACTTGCAGAGCTCGTGACCTTTTAAGTATAATAACCGTTCTAGCAGCCCTTCTAAAAATCGTTCTAGAATCTCCGTAACCCTACATCGAAGCCCCCAGTCCTTGTTGAATCCCTATAGAACTCTACATCCTAAACCCTCAAGTCCCACGATCCGCCTTCTGGTAATTCTTATCGCCACCCTGATGCTAGCCTAGCCCTAAAGCCCCTGGGCCTTTCAGAGGTCCCCTGAAGTCCTGCAAACCGAGGCTGGGCCGAGAAGGTTGCCGAGGCCAAAGAGCAACAGGAGGCGAGACCTATTTTTGGGTTGGGCTGTTTTCCGATATCTTGAGGTAGGTTTTGTTGTTACGATCATTGTTGGATCTCTTAATTTTGTATTGGTTGGTTTTCTAGGGTTTAGGTGGGTTCTGAAAGATGACAGGTTTTTTGTCTTGGGGTTCTTGTCATGAGAATCCTACTTGGCTCTGGGTTTGGGTAGACGCGGGGTAGTAGCATAAGCGTAGGGAGGTTAGGTTCAGCGGTTCAGGGGTTACACGGGTTTAGAGACCTAGGGTTTGCGGGTTCAGGGTTACGGGCTTTTGGGGTGTCATTATAGCATTGTTAAGTGTGTATATTGGGGTCCCTTAATATTAGTCACAGAGAAAACGGTAATCGGACGAACAGACAGATTAAAGTAATTGAACGTGATGCTGGTCATGGTGATGGTGACGGGGCTCACGATTGCGCTGCAGATGGCGAGATTGCGACATTTCTGTCTAGTTCCCCTCTGTATCTACACCAGGATTTTTTGGCCCCACCCGCTGTATGAAGAACATGGTAGGACCCCAAAATGGGTACCACGATTCCTGATGGTCCCTATCATTGGGCTCGGGCCTCGCCAAACCTGGGTATCCAGAAACCGCTTGGGAAAAGTTTTGGACGGCTTGGGACTTTCCGTGCCCCACCCACAGTGATGCGAGAAGTGGAGCATGCGAGAAGGACGAGCAGAAGGCCGTGTGGCTACTGGAAGGGTCTGGCTACACTTTTGATTCTGGTATCTTGTGTGTGGTTTGGTGTAAGGCCGGGATTTTCTGCAACGGCTGCGGCCGAGCCACGCCTCACCCTATCTGCAAATCCTTGCGACACATTGCAGGAAGTTTGTAGAAAGAACAAAGGCCTCCGAAAGGAGCTTGACAAGCTTCCATGGCCCGAGTTGAAGTGTTTTTCGGCAAGCGGACGTACCTACAACCTGCCTCTGCGAGCCGAGAGCAGAGTGCCGTCACATCGACCGGCAAAAGCCAGGCTGGAGTACTTGGCCGGCTTCTTCGACGGGGATGGCTGCGTTAAATGTGCGACGAATCTGTCTGGATGCATGTTGGCGGTGTCGCAGTCATTCGACCAGGCGGAAATTCTCATACTCTTCCGGGAGGACTTCAGTGGGAGCATCGGGCGCGAACACAGCGGCATGGGTTTGGGAAAACCGTCGCTTCAATGGCTACTTTGCGGGGACTCGGCCCGACGAGCAGCCAGGCTCCTGGCACCACGCAGCATCACTAAGCAGAAGCAGCTCTTGATTGCGGCCCGATGGCCAAAGACGAAATCGCCAAGAAGAGAGGACTGCGAGGCCAAGCTGCAAGCTCTTAAGAAGCACGATTCAGCGGTTGCCGGACTGTGCAGCTGGAGCTACTGCGCCGGTTTCTTCGATGCAGACGGCTGCATCAAGCAGCCTCTTGGAGGAGCCTCGCTGATTCTGGAAATCGGGCAAAAGCACCCCCAAGTCTTGAAGTGTCTCCGGAACTTTCTGTCCCGAAGCGTGGGCATGGATGCGAGCCTACGGAAATCAGGAACCAACTTGCATTTGTTGAGAATTTACGGCTTGTCAGATTGCAAGCAGGTTTTGCGACACATGCTGGGAGCCGGACTGGTGTGTAAGGCGCATCAGGCGGAAGTCGCCCTCAGGCTGACAAAGCAGAATGCAGGGCAAGTATGTGCTCGGCTGACATGTCTAGCTGGAAACCAGGAGTTTGGAAGGAAGCTGGACACTGCTGGCCAAGAGCGGGCAAGAGAGATCAATCGTCTGCGATCTCAGGCAGCATACCTGAAGCGGCGGGGGCGGATGACAAAAGCTGAAGCCAAGCTACTCGAGGTTGCAGTGCTGAAGCAGGAGCACGAGCAACTGAAAGCCCGCCATGAGAATCAGCAGTTGCTTGAGTATGTTCGCAAGCTGCAGAGGTTGCACGACAATTCATGGACTGGGCCGCTTGCTCAGGGTATGTGACGAAACGACAACAGGACTTCACCCAGCTCTGAGGCCCAAACCCAAAATCTCTGTCGCCTGGAGCCCTCAACATCAAAGCCCCTCTCCTCCACAGCCGTCAACCTCATGACGAACACCCCAAGTAATGAAAGCTTTAACAAGACCCGTCACAATCTGCCATAAACTCCTGCAGCTGGCAACTTTTATTACAAAAGGCATTCAAGGAAACCTTATAGTGGCCCTAATAGTAACCCTGACGAGAGCCCCCCAGGCGGCGCGCAGCCGCCGGAGAAGCTCCCTGCGCGTGGGGGACACGCAGCCGATGCTGGCAGCATAGCTGCGACAGGGGAGTTCAGAAAGTTCGGGATTACTTCGAGGGCTCTCTGCCACAATCTACAGTACGGACCCTAAGACTGCCGACATTCTCTGGAGGAAAGGAACCCTTACCTTCTGAAGCTCACATGCACAAAGTGCGGGCTCGAGGGATTTCTGGTGTCACGGGGTCCAGAGAGTCCTGCACTGACGTCGAGGGTTTCGGGGCCCATAGTTTTAAGGCTTCAAGGGTCTCTGCCGCAAAAACCCTGAACGAAAACGGCGAAACCCTCCGCAACCCCAGCTTTACCTCCCCCTCAAAAACCCTAGGACCTAGGCCCCCCCAAACCCCTCAAGCCGCATGCACCCCCAAGCCCTTCCGAAGAGTTTTCCGGTGTTTGGCAGTGCCCCCAGTGCCCCCGAGGTCAACCTCAATGAGGTGCGGGGCCGAGTGGATGTTTCTTTCAGATTTGAGGGACCAGCTGAACTCTTGTTAGGAAAATGTTTTTTAAGGTGCCATGGTAAGGAAACCGTAGCATTTACTACAGATCCCTGCCATGGTAGCTTAGCTTTCGGCTGCCATGGTAGCTTAGCTTTGGGCAGCGTTGGGCTTGGAGCTTCAGGGTTTCAGGATTTGAAGCGTTTGAGGTTCAGGGTGCAGGGCTCCGGGTCCTTTCGAAGTCACCAAGAGCATCCCAATGCAGCCATGGGTTTAGTAGGCGCTGAGGCTGAAGAGCACCCTTTCCTACCCCCAAAGCCCGAAACTGACGTAGAACTGAGCAAAGGCGTCGCTTGTAACCGATGGTCGCTGCAAACTTGAAACCCTAACCCCAAAAAGCCTGAGTCCCTAAACCCTAAACCCCGAAACTTAAAGCCCTACATTCCTAAAACGTTTGCCCTGAGCCCAGGGAGGTTAGGACTTTAATGATTACCAATACTGTTTTTGTTAGGGTTCCTTGTTCTGTTTGACTATACAACCATCTATCACCAAAGACCTATTCCAACTACTATAAGGCCCCTATACAGAACTCAGGACAAAACCCTGACTGGCCGAATTCGGCATCCCTTCGTCGCCACACGCAACACCATCGGCGGAGTGGGAGT